GCCTGACAGGGCTGGGATGGTTTGGGGCCCCTCCTCACAACACACCCACCAACACAACTACAGCAGTGCCAAGGCATCGACTCACTGAGGACACCCCAATTTTCCCAGGCTTGGGTTGTTTCTTCTGGTTTCCCTGACACGGATCTTCCATGCAAATCCTCCCAATTCCAACTCAATCTCCAAAGCTGCCACCAAGGTCAGATGGACACGGCCTCAAGGGCAGGACATGGAATCACAGAATTCCACAAAAGAATGTCTGCACTGTGACACAGGAGGAGAGAGGAGCCCACTGACCAATCATCAGTAATTACAATATTTTACTCACAGGTACAGGATGTTACAACCTATGGGTTATATCCTATGAAACCTCACGGTTTGAATGCGGAAAAATGGAATTGGGGTCACAGCCCATCCTGTGCACAAAGGGATCGATCCCCACTGGGGGTGTGGTTATTGCATTTCTTCAGGAGGTCAAGAAATAAAGTTTAAGAGACCGAGTTCCTTGTGACGAAAATTTCAGAAATCCAAATGCACCATAGGAATGAAACCTGAATAAGCCACAGGTTTTCCAGGTCCTCTCTCTTCATCTCAGACATGATTCAAGGGGATGAGCTCTCTTTCATAACCCAAGGAGTGCTCCAATGGACTATGACCTTGGCAAGCTGGTGGAGAGTGGCCACCCCAGGACATTAATGGCTCCCTCAGCATTCCTGGGTGCAGCACAACGACTGATGGACATCCAGGAGCACAGCAGAGGCTTCACTCTGCACAACAGAGCCACAAACCACAGCACACGAGTGGCATGAGCTCACCTCCCTGATGACACCTCGGCCACCAAAGCTTTGCTCATGTCTCCAAAGCTCCCAGAAATGCACTTGCCATGCAAATCCTCCCAGTTACAACTGAATCTCAAAAGCTGCCGCCAAGGGCAGATGGACACGGCCTCAAGGGTAGGACATGGAATCACAGAATGCCACAAAGGAATGTCTGCAGCAGGACAGAAGAGGAGAGAGGAGCACACTGACCAATCACCAGTAATTATAGTTTGTTCCTCACATGTACAACTTACAGGTGATGTGTTATGAAACCTCATGGCTTGAATGGGGAATAAGGGAATTGGGGTCACAGCCCAGCCTGGGCACAAAGAGATCGAGCCCTGTTGGGGGTTTGGTTATTGCATTTCTTCAGGAGGTCAAGAAATAAAGTTTAAATGACCAAGTACCTTGTTGTGTGAAAACTTCAGAAATCCAAACGGACCACAGGAATGGAACCTGAGCAGCCTGAATTCAACCTGAGCAGCCTCAATTCTTCCAGGTCCTCTCTCCTGATCTAAATCATGATTCGAGGGGATGAGTTCTCTTTCAAGACCCAAGAAAGGCTCAGAAGGACTATGACCTTTCCAAGCTGATGGACAGTGGCCTCCCCAGCACATCAAATGGCTCCCTCAGCATTCCTGGGGGCAACACAAGCACTGAGGGACATCCAGTCCCACACAACAAGAGGGGGCCCAGTCAGCACAAAGCACCCACAAACCACAGCACACCAGGGCCACCAAATCACCTCCCTCATGATATCACACCTCTCCTGGGCTCTGGCTGTTTATTCAGCCCTCCCTGACACACCTCCAACAACCCAAGCCTCCCACAAACCAACCCCTCCAAGCTGCCACCAGCTGACAGTGCTGGGCCAAGGCTGTGCCGCCCCTGCGGGAGCAGCATAAAAGCCGGCCCAGTGCCTCTCTCCCTCCCACGCTTCTCCTGACGCCTTCTCCTGCCTTCTGTGCCGCCAACAAGGTGAGCCTGCAGCCCCTGACAACCCCCTCCTGCTCCTGCCACACCGCCCCCCTGGCCCCTCTCTCCCAGCACGCTCTGCCCCAGCCTCAGCAGCCCTCACGCCTCCCCACAGCCCCACAGCAGCCTCCCCACTGCCTCG